GTGCTGTACAATCATTTACAATGTAAAAATGGCGGAAAGATCAAATGAAAGAATAAAACATAATGAAACATCAAATCATGAATAAATTCTAAAATTGTGACTCAGACACACGGTCGAGGCAGAGCATGACAAGAGATGAGTGTTATGTATGCAAGACTGTACCAATCATAAGAAAAAATGTTGAATAAAAAAGGGGGAGTGTGTGAAATAAAGCTTTAGACAGTGCCAATGCTATATTGCCTTATATGTATTAGCTCAGCGCTAGCGCGACAAACTAACAAGCTAAACTGAGGTCCTCCATCCATATTTTCAGTTGCAGGCTGAGTCATTTTCAGCCTCGCACCGAGGACCTGTCAACCTCGTCATTTACCCAAAATGCTTTGTGTGTAAATAAAATGGCTCAGTCTGTGTAATATATTTTTAAAAATGTAGTTTAAAAATTATAAAAACTAAACAGCCTACAGTATTTTTACAGTCTCTATATTACAGTTAAAATAAATTTTATTAAATAAAGTCTAATGTTACAACTAATCGTGGATCCCTTTAGTGGTGCATGCACATGCATTCCTTGTTTTGAAGCCCAGCTATTACTGTCAGAAGTCACAATTGGAYCGCCCAGGAACTGATCTTATTTAAGAGTCAAATGATCTACAGGGTGAGTCAAAAGAATCAGGACACACTTTTATTTTAGAAACTAAAGGGAAAATTAAATATCTGAAAAACCCCAGCAGGTGGGCCTATCTTTAGATAAACCTCCCCTTCACATAATATGGCAGCTTTCAAAATGGCAGCCATGTTCTGGACAAAGCCTAAAACTTGGACCCCTCACTTGTTGGGGGTATTCTGATATTTCATTTTCCCTTTTCTTTCTGAAATAAAAAAAAGGATGTCCTGAGACTTTTGATTCACCCTGTATGTTTGCCGACAGGCCTCAGAATCAACAGCAGTTCTACACTTTTAGGTAGTAAAATCTCACAACATGAAGACCAAAGCACCTCTCCACACAGGTCAGACAGAGTAAAGGATAATTACAGGTCAGGGTTGGATTATAAATAACCTAAAATATCCCAAAAATCCCCAATAAATTCATTATTAGAAAGTAGAAAAACGATGACGTCACAGCAGATCTGCCAAGAGAGGCTTGTCCACCAAAACTCACAGACATGCATTTTTTTCTTTGTAAATTATATTCCATTACTGTAATCCTCTATGAGAAATTTAACTCTCCATTTTCCCCATCACATACGTGAGCCCACATGTGGAGCAGAGGGCTGCCATCTAAAGCTGCGGATGTGGAAAAAAATGGACACTTTGGAATATCTTCCCAATGTGGAAGAAGGAAGTGCTGTGGTCAAATGAGACTAAAGCTGGACTTTTAAACGATGACACCAAGTCTGGTGCAAACACAGCACCTCTGAGGACATCGTGCTCATCGTAAAGCCGGGCAGTGGCAGCATCATGATCTGTTTCCTCTACCAGTCTTTACCCCTGACAGTCAAGCTCATTTAAATCTAGAGAGTGCCAGATCAAAATACCAACAGAAGTCAATCAAGGTTACCTTTCCTACAGAACAGGTTAGAATCCTGYCTTTCAGCAAACTAAACAACCTTCTATTTACACAACAGCACGTCATTAATGCCTGGACATGTGCCTTTGATGAATAGAAACTTTAAATCGTTACTATTTAAATCTGTCAGCTGTCCTTTTTAAATTCAAACAGTTAAAGTGTAAAGTGTAAACACCCTAAAYAGCTGGAGCAGTTTGGTCATGAAGAGTGGACAGAGGACATATACTTGACCAGTCTATAAAATACTGACTGTGTAAATACCTGGGCAATAACCAAACAGGGTGAATACTTTAGTGACCTGCTGTATTTGGTGAGTAGTTTTGCATTTAAAGACCTCTGCAATGTGGAGGGGGGTTGCTCCAAGTCCCGTTCTTGGTGCACCATATCTCCYGTTYTCCAACAAGCATTGTTCCCAGACAATCATAATGAATCACACTTCTGTATCTGTACGGTGGCTCCTCGAAGGTTTTCCTCTCTGCATTCGTCTTCTCTGGCTCTTCACACTGCACAGCTGCAGGTGAGAATATAACTTTTAGATGACAGAAGACATACAAAAACAAACCACGTGCGAAGACTGACGGCACCTTCGCAAACAGGAACGCGTCCGTCCCAGCCATTGTTTAAGCAGCGTCTGTTGCCTCGTCCCACAAGTATGTACCTATCACCAAGACAATTATAAAGTCATGTTTTCAGTGATCAGTTGTTTTTGTAGGGTTAAAAAGCAGCGTTTTATATTTGTGCTGTCTCACCCGTCATCACACACAGCTGTAGCTACAGCTCCAACCACTACTTCACCAGAATATTCAAAGTGTCCGTTTGTGATCTCTCCTGCATGGCCACAACTTTTTGCTGTTCAAACCAAAAGAAAGAAAGAAAGAAAAATCATGAGTTATACAAATGTTTGTGTCTCTGTTGAGTGTAAAGGAAAATTAGCCCTTTACAGTAAGTATGTTCAGAAATAGAAACATCCTGTTAGATGAGCTTCTCCTTAATTAATATCTTTTTTCTTTTCTTTTTACTACGGAACTGAAAACTGCACAGATAAAATCATCTAAAAATTCATGTCAATTTTTGTTTAAATAATTTGGCGTCAAGGACAATAATACAGTTTGATATAAAAGTTCTTGTGCATTAAACAAAGATATTTTAGAGTTCCTAAGTTTCAATATTTTGTTATAGTCATTTGGAAAAAATAAAACAATTAGCTGCATTTACTGGGAATGATTGGAAATCCTCGGCATCTGTGACCTGACTGCATGGATGGATGGATGGACGGATGGATGGATGGATGGATGGATGGATGGATGGATGGATGGACGGATGGATGGCTAAATGGAAGGATGGATGGACGGATGGATGGATGGATGGATGGATGGATGGATGGATGGATGGA